CAAAGTTGCTGGAAAAGCTCAGCAGGTCTGGCAGCATCTGTGGAGGAAGGGTCACCGGACCCGAAACGTTAATTCTGTTTTCTCCTCCACAGATGCTGCCAGACCTGCTGAGCTTTTCCAGCAACTTTGTTTTTGTTCCATATTCACCAGGACGTTGCCTGGGCTGGAACAATTCAAAAACTGCATAAGCTGGGATTGTTTTCCTTTAGATCAGAGGATGAGGGGGTACTAGTTGAGCTGTACGATGTCATGACCCGCATAGATAGGGAGAAACTTGGCTCCTTTGTAAAAGAGTCAGTAACAAAGAATGACAGTTTTAAGGTAAGGAGTAGAAAATAGAGATAATTTGAGGAAAGCCTTTCTCTTTCCAGAGGGCAGTGGGCGTCTGGAATTCACTACCCAAAAGGATGGAAGAGGCAGGAGCCATTAAGACATTTAAGAAGTATTTAGATGTGCACTTGAAATGTGATAGCTGGAAAATGGAATTAAAACAGACAGAGGCTTGATGGCCCGTGCAGATTGAAGGGCCTTTTGCAATGCTGTAAAAGCTCTAACTCTATGGCCCATTGTCAATTGGCTGTTTTGATGAAACTATCCAACTCATGACCCTCCCGTTGCTCTTCCCTGAGTCACATGGTTTTGGTTTAGTAGTCCAATTCCAGGACCTGACAACCAATATCAAGGCTAATTCTCCAGTGCTGAGGGTGTATTGCATTGTCAGCAGTGCTGTCTTTCAAAGAAGACATTAAACCCAGTTATCTGAAACAAACAAGTATGCTGGAGAAACTCAACAGGTTTGGCAGCATCCATCGAGAGAGAAGTGGAGTTAAGATTTCTTCTCTGATATGACTGATCTTCAGAATGGCCACATATATCTGTGAAGGACCTGTAGTGCCATTTTGAGGGAGTGCAATGGAATTTAACCCAGTCTCCTGGCTAGTACTTATCTCTTAACACCACAAAAACAAATATTCTGCTTATTCATTATCAGATTTGTACGTTACAATATTGACTTCACTAGAAAAATTTGGCTGTAAGGTGCTTGGAGACATCAAATTGAAAATGCTTTATAAATGGAAGTGTTTTCTTTCAAAGCTCTGAAATGTATTTTTCTTCCAAGTATTCATCCAACTTCTTTTTGTAAGTTGCCGTTGAATCTGCTTCCACTGCCCTTATAATCCAATGCATTCCAAAACAGCAACATCGAGTGTCATCATTTCTCTAATATTCCCTTTGGTTGTTTTCCTGACTACATTATACTGTGTCTTCTGGTTATCAGCTGTGCTGCCACTAGAATTTGTGCATGTTTATTTAATTTATCAAAATCCTTCGTGCTTTTGAGCACCTCTAACTTCTACTTAACTTCTTCTCTGAGGATCAGTTCCAGTTTCTCACTGAACTGAAGCCCAGTATACCTCCATTTCAATTAGTTACTTGGCTTATCAAAGAGGTCACTCCCTCCACATTGCCTATCCATTTAATCTCACTCAGGTAATATTTATTAACTTTATTTGTGTATGACCTATCAATATAATAAAACATTATTGTCTGAAGCATAATTATAGGATATCAGCATATGAAAAACACCTGACCATATATTGCATTATTGTTTGTGGGATCTTGCTGCATACAAATTGGCTGCTGAATTTCCAACAGGCAGTGCTTCAAAAAGTGTGTTGATGCTACATAGACCTTTAGGCGGTTCTCAGGTTGTGAAAGGCACAAGGAATAGTCAATGTAGTTACTTTGACTCCTAAATATTGAAGTTGGCTATCTCTCTTTATAATTCAACACACAGGCCTATCAAGTTCTTGTTAACAATTATTTTTATATTGTCACAATCCATTTGTTGTTTTGTGCAGTAAATTATTAATTTTAGTTTATACAAACATATGTGTGAAATAGGAGCCAAAGTAGACCCTGTGCCTGATCTGCCATTCAGTAAGATCATGGATGCTCTGTTCGTGTTTTGAATTCCACATTCCCATCTACCCCAATAACCTTGATTCCCAACCTGACCTGACGAGAATTTATCCATCCCTGTCAGTAAACTATTCATTAACTCCACTTCCACCACCTTCTGAGGAAAGAGTTCCAAAGCCCCCACAAAAGAAAAATATATTCTACTTGTGCCTCTTCTGAAGTGATGTTCCCTAATTTTAAAACAGTGTCTGCTAGTTCAGGACTGGCCCTCATGAGGAATCATTTTGTCAGTACCATTCACAATCTTATACTGTGTTGTAAGGTGTGTGAATTTTATACTTATCATTTATTTCAGAGTCTGGATTTTGAATTAGTGGCATGCGGACTTTGATCTGTGTTTATGAAATGGTTTAATAACAATAATATTAGTGTTTATGGAACCATGATTTTAAATCAGTATGTGTCAGAGAGTAGCTGACTAGGGGCCAATCTGGAGTGATTATGAAAATGTGTTTGTTTTAGGAGAGTTTTATGATAAAAGACAGCAAATATTGAAAGGCATTAGCTTGGCTTTAGGATAATCAAGAACTTTTTTTTGAGGAAAAGCCTATATGTTGAAAAGCTTTTGGCAGTTCTCTAGAAGACCTTCCAGAAGGCCTAGCTGTGGTCAGATATAAGAATGGTTTCTCCTAGAGTTTAGAACAATTAGGAAAAGGTTACTTTTGGTGTAAGTGTTTTGATTTGAAAATTCCAGACCATAAGTCTTTGGTCATAAACGGGTTATTTGAAGCTAAGAAAGTTTAAGCTCAGTTGTGTGACTGATAAACTCACAAGACCAGGAATTGAAATAAATAGTTAAATCAGAACCTTTAGGTGGAATACAGAGGGGAGCTCTTTCTGGTATTTGAGTATTATAAAATGACAGTGTTGGGATAGTTGGAGATTTTGTTTTGCTGTGCATTTCAAAATATTTCAAATTGTGTTATGTGTAAATAGCTTGATTTGTTCTATTTAATATTAATTTCTTTTGGAAATAAAATTTTGTTTTATTGTAAAAACCAAACCTACAGCATTGTGTACTTCACTTTAATTAATAAACCGTCATGTTATGAACAAAAAACCAAATGTGATCTCTTAGGCTAGATTTTAATCTGGGATCTGACTTATCCAGTATTAACTAGATCATACCAATGTACTTCAGTCAAGTGACTCCTCACTCCTAAACGCCGGTGGAAACAAATCTTGCCTTTCCAGCTTATCCTCATGAAACAGCCCATTCCAGGACCCATCCCTCTAGAGTATACAGCACGGAAACGGGCCCTTCAAACCAATTCATCCATGCCGACCATGTTTCTTAAACTGAACTAGTCCCAGTTGCCTGTGTTTGGCCCATATCCCTGTAATTCTATACATGTACCTGCTCAAATATCTTTTAAATGTTGTAATCGTACCCGCCTCAAACTCTTCCTCTGGCAGCTCGTTCCATATACACACTACTCTCCGTTTGAAAATGTTGCCCCTCAGGTCCCTTTTAAATCTTTCCCCTCTCACCTTAAACCCATGCCCTCTGGTTTTGGACTTCGCTACCCTGGGGAAAAGACTTTGGCTATTCACCTTTTCTACGCCCCTCATGATTTTATAACTCTCTACCTCATAATCCCAATTCCCAACCAAAAATTTGTACTTACTCAACTTTTAAAATATATTAATTATCTCAATATCAACCCCTACTTTTGCTCCGAACTTATTTCACAAAACCACTATTCTGATTGAGGATTCTCCTACTTTACAGTCTTGCTCAAAAATCTTATTTTTAAATCCACTGTCATCTTAAATGCTTATGTCCGCAGTTATAGATATTTTCTAATCAATCTGTTCAAAGATGTCATTACATATCTCTGGGGCAGGTGACACTTGAAGGTGAGCTGCTTGGCTCAGAGGTAGGGACATTGCCCCTGCACAAGAGCCCTAAAAAATAAATAATGGAAACTTCCTGTTTAAACATCACATTATAATAAGCCAATGGTGGTTTGCTGCTCCTTCAAGGGTGGAAGGTACAATTAGAGTGGTAATTTTATGCAAGCAGTATTCATGACCAAGGTAGATCTAGAAGTTTACATGGGAAAGAAGTCAACACAGAATTTATGCAGGAATTAAATGTTTATTAAATTAATCATAGTAATTATTCAAAATCAAAATTGTTGTATTTACATAGAAAGTAGGTGCAGGAGTAGGCCATTCAGCCCTTCAAGCCTGCACCACCATTCAAAATATGATCATAGCTGATCATGCAATCTCAGTATCCCATTCCCACCATCTCCCCATACCCCTTGATCCCTTTAGCCACAAGGGCCACGTCCAGCTCGCTCTTGAATGTATCTAATGAACTTTCCCCAACAGCTTCCCATGGGCGAGAATTCCACAGGTTCACAACTCTCTGACTGAAGAAATTCTTCTTCATCTCAGACCTGAATGGCTTACCCCTTATGCTTAGATTGTGACCCTTGGTTCTGGACTTCTCTGCGATTGGGAACATTCTTCCTGTATGTAGCCTGTCCAGTTCCATCAGGATTTTATTTCTTTCTATGAGATCCCCCTCGTTCCTCTAAATTCCAACGAATACAAGCCCAGTCGATGCAGTCTTTTCTCATATGCCAGTCTTGTCATCCCAGGAATCAGTCTGGTGAACCTTTGCTGGACTCCCTCAATAGCAAACATGACATTTTCACTTATTAACTTTTATCTATGTTCATTAGCTATTTGCTCCTACAGCATACATACCTCAGCAACTGAACTGCGTAAGTAACATTATTTTTGTACAATTTATTCAAAGGCATTTAAGTAGAATCTAAACTCTAACTCTCCATCTCCTTCTCTGTGCTCGATGTGTTAGGCCCGGCAGACCCGGAAGTTTAATTTGTGTCAGTTTTGCAGCAGTTGCAGCGTAATGGCTGAAGGATGGAAATAGTTTCTGGGCTTGTGTCTTACGCCCTTGCAAAGTTTTTCTTTCTCTCGCGGCTCTCGAATAAAGAAGATGCGGAGAAAATCAAAAAAATGGAAGAGAAAGTGTTAGAAGTCTATGGTAAGGCTATATAAACCGAATTGAGGTAGGTGTTGTTCAGTAAGGAGGTCAAACTAATGAAAAAAGGAAGCTTCAGACCTAGCAAATTTCTATAACTTCTGCATAGCACTAAAGTAGTCAAGAGTTAATTTTGATGCCAATCACCCTAATACAATGTCCCAAAAGAATGCATTAAACCAGATAGTTAGTGCATATATACTTTCCATTCAAAACTGTGTGTGTTCTCATGTACCAGTAATATCTGTGTAGAAACTGTTCCCCAAGATTGTGTGATTTTCAAACTGATATTAGACATGGCACTGCCAAGGCCAATATTAACTGTCCATCCCCAGTGGTCTTTGATACAACTGAGTAACTTGCTAGACCATTTAGAGAGCAGGTCCTTAATTACATGGTATCTTCTCTGAAAGTTAAAAATTAACAAGCCTTGTCGGTCTTGGATTTAGTCCCTTTCAGAATCTGTCCAAAACTGTATGGTTATAAAAATGTTAATGTTTATAAAGTCGAAGGGATGGTATTGGATAGGTTTTGAGCCTGCCAGACATCCTTCATCCTGCTCGCTCTGTATTGTCCTGTTGGCTGGCCAAATAAAGATTATGCTCAAGCTTATAAGAATGAGTGTTTGGATCTCCACTTATTGCTGCTGTTTACTTGCCATATTTGAACATCAGAGGGGACATAGTTCTGTCAACTTCACCAATGTTGAAAAAAAGACAAAAAGAGTTTCAAAGTTCCAGGTCTCCCAATCTTTTAAATGTTACTTAAAGTTAATGAAAGCAAGAAGGGCTTGCGAGTACTCACTCCTGGAAATGGTCTCCGGCTAACTACTTGAATGTACCTTGGGTTAGTTCACACCTGAGATATTGACGCAATGCCAATTTGTGCTGTAGTTTTTCAGTAAGATTTATTGATCTAATAGTGATGTTTAAGCTTCTGTAGATGATTAATGAACAGTGAGTATAGAGGGAATGAGATGATCTTAAACTTTCATTGCTACCATTATAGACATCATCCACATGAGAGATTACTACAGAAAATACGTTGTGTATGTTTGGCTGTATGTTCTCACAGGATACATTTTTAAAAATTTTGTTGGATTCCTGAAGCTTTGTGTATGTGTATGTGTATGTGTGGGCAGGGGGTGGGGGCATGGGGTGTTGTGGGTGGTGGATGGCGGAGGATGGTTGGGGGTGAAAATAAACTGTGATAGAAACTTCCGAAAAGCTGGACGAATCACATTAGCTCCATTTTGTAAAACTTCACAGTCTGTGGAACATGCATTGGTGGAGGGGAGAGTTGGGAATATGGGTCAAAGTGTACAGTCATACTTATGTGAGTTGCTTCAGCTCGAAAGTGAATGGTTTAATTTCTATGCCAACCTATTATTGAAAGGAGGATTGTACTAGACAGTCATTGATTTGTAATTCCATTATGTGCAGACTGTTTCCAAGTTGGGTATTAAAGATGGTTGGCATGTGTGTCAATTAAATTGAAATTGCATTGCCTTAGTGGTACAGTGGGGCAATAGTCAGATGTTGTTTTTCAAAGATTGGATTCATTCCACCCAAGTGTTATTGTTCATACAACAAAATGACTTACTAGACCACTTCAAAATGGATTCAAGAAGAACTGCCCACTGTGAGGCAGGAGTTATCAGTCAGACCATACCGGTGGAGGGGAAGTGTTTCCTTCCCCGAAAAGCATTAGTGAACCTTAGCTATTTTTAATTTATAAATCACTGCAGCTAATGAATCGAATTTTGTAATTTCCTATGGTGGGATTTGAACTCTCAATCTTTGGATTGTAAACCTGCAACCATAAGTGCTTTTAATCGTTGTGGTTTTCTTAGGGCAAGAATGTGGAGCAGCTTTTTTTGTTCATCTCTCTAACCTGTCAGGTTGGGAATAATGCTTCGCTTATGGAGAATTAAAGAAAATAAAGCAAAATATTTTACAAGTTATTTTTAAAATTATTTGGGGAAAAGAAGGTAGCTCTAGACTTCCAAAACTATTTAATAACTTTTGAAAACCAAGGTATACATAGTGGCATCATCAGCGGTGAATTGCAATTACCACATTACTGAGTGTTTACTGTCCAGATTAAACTATATTTGTAAGCAAGAGTGACTATACCAGCCTTCTTCCAAGTACCAAGAACTGTTATATTAAGTTCACACCAGACTATTTCCCCAAACATCCTTCCTCCAATCCATCTAAAGCTTTACCATCTGTATCACCAGATAAAATCCAGGATCCTGTATCAATAACTGTTCTACTGGCAACGCAGTAAAATTCTTGAGATCTACATTATTTAATTCCAGCAATCTCCTCACTGGACCAACCCACTACGAGGTCTTATTTTTACCACAAGTCCTTTAGATCTCTGACTCACACCTCTGTGCCTCCCATCCTTCAACACTGGTAGCAAAGCCTTTGGCTAATTTTGCTGCATTATCTTAAATTCCCTCTCTAGATTCCTCAAACACCACCTCCACCCCCCAAAGATTCCGCACTGTTTCTCTATGCATCTTCAAAATCTCCTCAAAGCTTGTCTTTTGGTCTGTTCTTTTGGCTATCCAACTGAACTCATGCTACAAAGTGACTCAATTGTATCTCCATTGTGAATCACTATGTCATAAATGCTATATCAATGCAAATGTTTTCTTCTAATGTGATGTCTTAGACAAGATGAGCCAAATGTCCTCCTAAGGTGCTGTAATAATTCTGTGGTTTTATTATCATGTTTGAACACTACAAAGTCCAGTGGTTCAAATTACAGACACCATTGCTGGTTCTCCCAGAACCTGAAACCCCTAGCTCATTTGCTTTTCTGTCCCATCCCTATAGCTCTTTCCGCTAAGCGATGTTACTTAAATTCAGTTTAAAAGGAATACAATATATGCAGGAGCTGTCCAAACTAAAGTTAAGTGAAAGGAGTGCCTGGAAGCAAGAGTTGTATTTTTAACTTTTGAATGATCTAATTGAGTTACTGCATTGAGACATTTAGTAGAGTGGTTATCTAATTGTAGACTGTGAACTTTAAAGGTATAAACTGTGAGAAAGTGATGCAGTGGTTGGAAAGGTGTTCTTCATTCACTGCTGAATTGAAATAGATTGTAAATTAAACTTTCCACTTTGCCAGCAAACATGTTTGGGAAACATCAAACTCTTCTTTGTAGACAAGAATCCAAACCGTAACCAGTTAAAACCAAAGTACCAATGAACTTATTCTGAGACTGCAAGTTAGGGGTGAAGTGGGAATTCCTTTATGATGGAGAGCATCATTTTGGAGGTTTGTAAAAGTCTGAATCAGAATTCTGTTGAGATTTAAATGAGTTTTGTAACCAAAAACAAAGATAATGATACGCAAAAGTATTAACTTTTTTTGTGTCTTTGTCCGGTCAGATATCATTCGTACAATTCGTGACCCAGAGAAGCCCAACTCTCTGGAAGAGTTGGAGGTGGTAGCTGAAGAATGTATCGAGGTGAAAACATTGGATGACGATGAGTACCTCATCATTATTCATTTCAAACCAACAGTACCTCACTGCTCTCTAGCCACACTGATTGGTGAGTGAAGAACGAAAGAAGGACCTTGCATTAGTGGAATGACTTTCATGGCCTTAGGACATCCAAAACAATTTTAAAGCAATAAAATACTTTTGATGTATAGACACCATCGCAATGTAGGAAATGCAGTTGCCAATTTGTAGACAGCAAGCTCCCAGAAGCAGCGATATATCAATGACCAGATAATCTGTTTTATTGATGTTGATTGAGAGATAAATATTGGGTCCAGGACACTAGGGAGAACTATCCTGCACTTTGAAATAATGCCCTGGCATCTTTTATGCCACCTGAGACAACACACAAGATTTTGGTTTAACATCTCATCCAAGTTACAGTTCTTCCAACAGTGCAGCAGTGCCTCGGTACTCTGCTGAGAGCGTATGCCTGGATTTTGTGCTCAGATCTCTGGAGTGAGTCATTCATGGATGTGGGCATTTCTGGCTGGGTCAGTGTTTATTACCCATCCCTAGTTTGCCACTGAAACGGTAGTGGTGAGCTGCCTTCTTGAATGGCTGCAGTCCCATGTGCTGTGCTATTAGGGAGCGAGCTTCAGGATTTTGACCTAATGATATATTTCCAAATCAGGATGTTGAGTGGCTTAAAGAGTTGCTTGTGGTGGTGTTCCCATGTATTTGCTGCTCTTGTCTTTTTAGATAGTAATGGCTATGTTTTTGGAAGGTGCTATGTAAAGAGCCTCGATAAATTTCTGCAGTGCGTTTTGTGGATAATACACCCTGCTGCTACTGAGTGTTGGTGGTGGACGGAGTGAATGCTCGTGGATGTGGTGCTTGTCAAGGGGGCTGGATGGTGTCAAGCTTCTTGAGTTTTGGTAAAACTGTATTCATCCAGGCAAGTGGGGAGTATTGCATCACGCATCTGACTTGCACGTTGTAGGTGTTGGACAAGCTTTGGGGAGACAAGAGGTGAGTTACTCACTGCTTTGACCAGCTTTTGTGACCACTATTTATATGGCAAGTCCAGTCCGGTTTCTAGTCAATGGTAACCGCCAGGATATTGTTAGTGATGGTAATACTATTGAATGTCAAGGTGCAATGCTCAGATTCTTGCCTGTTAGAGATGGTCACTGACTGGCACTTGTGTGGCAGAAATATTACTTGCTATTTGTCACCCCAAGCCTGGACATTGTCCAGGTCTTGCTTCATTTAAACATGGACTCCTTCTGTATCTGAGGAGTCGCAAACAGTTGTGATCATTGTGTAATCATCAGTGAACCAGCCACTTTATAAAAAAGAACTTAGCTGGAACCAAGCGCTGTATCCATCAGAGGCTGCAGTTTTGTAGATAGATCTATCTGCTGGGCATCCTGTTCCTTGAACAATACAGATTAAGGCCCTGATGAGAGGGGTAACATAGAAAAAAGTTAAAGTTCCTTGTATTCTGCCACTCCACTCTTATCAGAGTTCAGCATGTTTTTCATGTGGCTTCTATTTGAATATTGACTACTGGCAAGGTGACATTTGTCATTTCTCTTGTCTTGATGCTTAATGTTACCAGTCCACCACTGGGCCAAATGCAACAAACTCTGCATAGCCCTCTAACACACTGTAACCAGTTCACCATAAGGGAGGTAAAATTAAAGAGGGAATAACCTGTGCACAAATTGTAACAAGGATTTCATAGAAAATTGCTGTGTTTGAAAGAATTGAGATCTACTAATGATGGCTACATGATTCCTCCTGAGCAGGTGGGCAACCTGATGAGTGAGAGACTATTGTACGATTATCAGAGACAGTTGTGAATGTCTGCTGGCAGTAACAGCATTCTGAGTTTTCCCTCAGGTCACGGACTGCTGTTTAATCATCCTTATCTGTCCCTCCCCACCACCACCACTCCCAACTCCTTTGCAAACTTCCTGCTGTTGCCAACGTTACACAGTGACCCACACTGAAACTCCTACAAAACCTTTCCTTGACAGTGAATGTTCTGCTGAGCCCGGTAATAAGAACAAGACAGACACTATTTAAATGCTTTGCAGTATTAATACTGTGTCATTGTTGCTGAGTTTTGAGCGGGAGATGGGAGGTTTCCACAGCTGTTGTATTATTTTTACAAGTTTGTGACTTACTTCAAAAAGAATTAACCTCCCGATGGCTTGATGCTCAGAGCTGTCACTCTTCTTCGATAAATAAAATGGAAATATAGATCCTGGGCATTGTTGCTTCCTGTTTCTTCCATGCAGTGGGTTATGACCCATGCTAAATGTTTAAAAGTAATTGTATTTGAGGGTTAACAGGTTGAAGGTTGAAGGTCAAAGGGCACTCAATCAGTTTTCTTGTTGAGAGTTGAAAGCATTTTCACACAGTTGATCATTAGAGCTTTATTCTTCTCTGAATAATCTATTGACAAAGCTAATTATTTGTTGCACAAGGCATGGGAAAACGTTAGATGTAGGAGATTGCTATCCTCGTCCATTCTTACTTAGCAAAACCTGTTTTTTAAAAAAAGCGATGAGGGTGAAGGAAGACTGTTTGACTCAGTGGGTTAAAAAGCTGCACTTTGACCTTTAGGGCTTGACTGATTAGATACATGCAGATTGAGAGGATGAATGTCTCCACACTGCCAGGATATAAGGGTCCGAGCTGAAATTGGTTTGTCTTGACTTTACTTTTAGGCTCAAGCCAACAGCTTAAATATTCCTGAGGATACAGCCTGACCAAAATGTGAGAAATAGGAAATTATGGCATTCTATTCACGGGTGCTGCTCTATGGATTTGGGTTAGAGTATGTTAACGGGGCACAGTGGGAGGAACTGTACATTCAGCTGCGAGCACAGGATGGTGAATTGGGGTTAAGTCCTAACTCCCTTGCATGCAAAAACTCAAAACAATCTCCCACACTGAACTTGTATTTACAGGTGCAAGCTAGAAGCCCAGGCTAATGCTCTGGGAACATGGACTTCAGCCCCTCAGGGAGCTGGTGATATTTAAATGCAATGAATAAAGTCTGGAATATTAAGTTAGCCTCAGAAATAATGATCAGGAAACTAATGGCATAAGCACCATCTGGTTCACCAAAGTCCTTTTGGGAATAAAATCTGCCATCCTTACCTGAGCTGGCCTACATCAGACATCAGACCCACAGCAGTGTGGATGATTCTTAGTCACTACTGTCCAAAATCAATCCAAGGGACATTAGGGCTGAGCAACAAATGCTGGCCTTACCAGCAACGCTCACATCCGATGAAAGAATTGAAAAAAAGGCTGACCAGACAATTTGCTGGTTTTTGCTATGACAATATTTTAGATTTTATTGTCACATGTACTCAAGTATAGAAATACAGAAAAGTGCATAATATCGCCACACATGGCGCCATCTAAGATACCAAAATATCTTGGTATAAAAAAAGCTTAGGTACAAAGTAGTAAGAGAAACGAGTTTAAAAAATTAAGCATTATTTCAAAAAATAGCCAAAAAATAAAGACATAGTTTACTTCAAAGTCTTTCATAGCTTAAACTAGGAAAAGAAAAGAATAAGCCAGAAGTTCAACAGAGTTTGATAAGTCCTCCGCTTATCTCACACTCCGGACACCACAGCTGTCTGCTCTTGGAGAAGCTACCACGGATACCATCAATGCTGCTGAAACTGCCACCTCTCAGATCTCCCAGTGCCTCAGGAACGTGCCCAGGCAGAATCCACGCTTGCACACTGAGCCGAGACACCACCACGAGACGCCAAGAGACCAGGCTGAGGGGCATCATGCTGCCGAGAGACCAGGCTGAGGGCCAGCATGCTGCCGAGAGACCAGACCTGGGACCGGCCATGAGCCACTGGGAGACCAGACCTGGACCCACTGGGAGACCAAAGGGGAAAAAAAGAGAAAGAAACAGAAGGAATGGAGGAGCTCCAGTTGGAGCATTCTACTCTCTCTTCATTAAATTTGTGCATTGAGTGTTAAATATTGATCAGGAAACTGGGAGAGCTCCCCTGCTCATCTTCAAGCGCTGCCATGGGACCTTTCATAACGTCCTGAAAGGGCAGCTGGAGCCTCTATTTAATGTCACATCTGAAAGATGGTCTCTCAGATTGTGCAGGACTCCTTCAGTACTGACTGGGAGTGTCAGACTAAACCATACACTTAAACCTCTTGATGAGGGAACTCTTATGCAAGGATTTGTAAATTGAAAAATTACTGAAGTCATAGAATCATAGAATCAATCAGCATTTCCCTTCTGGCTTATAGGGCCTCTCCATGGAGTAACTGAGACTCATATCAGGAAGATGATGGTTTGATCCTTGATCTGTTTTGAATTGGGCAGACTAGCTGATATCTGATAAGCTGAGGGGAAAAAAATCAAACAGGGTTTCCACAGTTGGTGACTGTTTCTGACGTTGAGGTGAAAATAGGACAAGGGTTTGTGCAATATCCCCAAACTGAGTGCCAATAAAGGACAGAAATTGAGAGGTGTTCCTGAAACTATCTCAGCAAGAAGTGATTGAGTTCAAAGTAGGAGAGAATTGGCAAGGAAAAGAAAGTGGCTATGAAAGGTATTAGTGCTAATTTTTGCACTTTTTTTTGTTTGTAGGTCTCTGTCTACGAGTCAAGTTGCAAAGGTGTTTACCATTCAAACACAAGGTAAGATTTTTAAAAAAAGCTGTTTCAACACCTAGATTTTACTGAAATGGA